CTCAGGTCCAGATTCTTTGATTTAATGTTGAGGTTGAACAGATCTTTGATATACTGCTGTTGTAGCAGCTGGTTTTGTATCTGCTTGGCTCTGCCACCGCTGTATAAATGATAGTGTTTCCCTAACAGAACATATGTTTCTGCTTTTTTAAAAATTGACTTGCAAGCACTGGATATGCATGTGTATGCTCAGCAATCGCCAAGCAGCCTCTTGTAAGAAACAATAACAAAAACTACAATAAGCAACTTCCATTGAAGGGAGTGTGTGGCATAATTCTGTTTACCATGGCTTTGTGCATTGGTAATACATGATGATACTGCTACAATAAAAAGAGGGTGACCCACTGCATGCAGTAGGATATCCCAAGGGTGGCCTCTTTAAAGAATCTGTTTCCTGGTAATGAGAAAAGACTGGCAAATTCCATTGCCTTTTATCATATCTAGTCATTTACAAATATCCAAGAGGAGCATATTGGAAGCAAATTGAGTCACAAACCAGGCAACATGGCTACCCAAAATGCAACAGTACCAAAGAATGCTTTGCATTCATCCAACTGCCTCAAAATTATAACTCTCTCAGCCTGGATTCAGATTAGCCACAAATTGCAATTTTGCCTTTCCTAATAACAAGAAAGAGTGATATTTCAAAAGGTTGGAAAGAATTTTCCATTAAGAATAATCAACTTTTTACTGTTTTCCAACCAGTAGCATTTCCTTTCTCCTCCACCCCCCAAGATGACAGAACTATTGAGCTCAGCATTTAAAAAATAGATTGGTAGTGAAAGCAGACAATATTTAGAATCTTGGAGGGGTATGTAAAATCTGCTTATTTTCATTATTTATTTATGGGATTTATATCTCACCTTTCTCCCAAAATGGGATTCAAGGCATTTCCATGCATTCTACTCCCACACTGGAGAGCTGCCTCTAAAACATGGTTTGTCTCTGTATTTGTAGAGCTGGACAAAAGATCAATGAAGATGAATATATATATATATTCAGCAGCATGTGCAATGTTAATGCCATGCTTCCATGGAATTAAAGATGTGGAAATCACACTTTTCTTTCATTTCTCCATATCCCACTTTCATTCCACCACCACCCAAATCTTTGTTTCGTATGTTTGAGAAATTTTGGTTTTATTCCCTGCACTGTAATCCATACAGGGTTTTGTTTTAAAATGTGCATATTTATTTATGCATTTTATCAAATGTGTACATATTTTCCCCTATGTTTGTGCATACTTCTTCAATTGTAAGCATTTTAGTCACCTGCATTTTTAAAATGTGTGCCATGTTTGGTGTGCATTTTATTTTTCCAAAAGACCTCATAAACCTCATAAGCATGTTGGTCCTCATTTCTTAAGACTCAGGAGGTATGAAAAGGGTATTTTCACTGAGACTGGCAATGCTAACAAAGTTTTCCATCCCTGTACAGAATAAATATGTATAAACCAGAGACTGACAGTCTAATATATATAAAGATCCTGGCATCCCTTCAGTCAGCCCTCCATATGTGCTGAATTACAATTTTCAGAATACATAAATTGGACGTACTTCCTAGAGCTTTGGGAAATTGCAGTCCAAGGCTGCATCTACATTGCAGATTTTTTCACTGTTTGCCACAGTTTGATTGTCATGGCTCAATGCTATGAAATTCTGGGATTTGTATTTTTGAGAGATATTTAGCCTTCTCTGTCAGATAACTCTAGTACCACAACAAACTACAAATCTCAGGGTTCCATAGGATGGAGCCATGACAGCTAAAGTGGTGTCAAACTGCATTAATTCTGGAAAGTGAAAGACTGCCTGTCACTGCAGTTTCTGTATGAGAAACTTCACTTGTTGACTTGTTTTCATTATACAACTACTGCAATTTAGTCACCCAATTACCTTATGTGATGTAAAGAAATAGAAAAAATGTCTGAAGTAGCCATTTTGCCAAAGATTTCATGTAGTTTAATGAAGAAAAGCAGCAGCCTCCCACTTACCACTATAAGAAAATTGCCAAAACAGTAATGATGGGGTTGGGATGGGAGAGAAATTGACATGAAATGATGGAGAGCTCTTTCACAATACAGATTTCTAGCACCATGATTTAACTTTAGCTGCCATGACAACATACTATGAAATTCTAGTTTGAGGCACTAGAGCTCATCCTGACTTCCAGGGAGGTTTCTGGCTTGATCTGCTCTAGGACCCACTTGTTTGTTCTTTTGGCTCTCCATGGGATCCTCAGCACTCTTCTCCAGCACCACATTATCTCAAAGGAGTTGATTTTCTTCCTATCATCTTTCTCAACTGTCCAGCTCTCACATTCAAACATGGGAATAAGGAATACAATGGCTTGTACGATTCCAACTTTTGTGCTGAGTTGTATATTTTTGCATTTTAGAATCTTTTCTAGTTCTTTCATAGCCACCCTTCACATTCTTTGTCTTCTTCTGATTTCGTGACTGCAGTCCCTACTTCTATCAATGTTTGATTCCAGGTATGGGAATTCCTTTACTATTTCTATTTCTTCATTGTCTAGGTTGAACTTGTGTAGGTCCTCAATGGTCATTATTTTTGTTTTCTTTATGTTTAGCATTAAGCCTGCCTTTGCATTTTCTTCTATGATCTTCCTTAGTAGCTGTTCCAGGCAGGGGATGTAGGAATTAAGCAGAGCAATGGAGGACAGAGGGTCTTGGAGATGTCTCATCCATAGGGTCGCCATAAGTCAGGATTGACTCAATGGCAGTTAACAGCAACAAACTGTGTGATATAAAAAGGCCCGATGGCTCAATAACCAGCTAGTGAAGTACAGCAACCTACTGTTATGACCTAGAAACAGCCTCTATTTCACTATAAGGATAGAGAATCAATAGTCCACAGGATGAAGCCAGAAGAGTTTTTCATAAATCTACTCCTTAGCCCCCATCCCATTCTTGGTCCTGTACCTTCCTCTTTGCCCTTTTATGCCACACACAACAGGTCTCTGCGAGAAAGAACCTGTCCCCCCCCCAACCCGCATTGACCTTCATTTCCATTAGGTTAGGGAAAAATAGCATTTCCCTACAGCTTGGAAAACCTACATTTTGAGACTACTGTTCCTACAATTCCAAAGTCAGCACAAATTTCCTAAATCTGGATCCCTTGGCAGAACTTGGAAAATTTCCCTTTGGGGAACTGTTGCTATTATTATGTTCCTTCAAGTCTTCTCCAACTTATGGCAACCATATCCTAGTCTTCTCTTGGCAAGATTTGTTCAGAGTGGGTTTGCTATTGTCTTCTTCTGAGGCTGAGAGAGATCACCCAGTAGCTTTCCATGGCTGAGTGGGGTTTCAAATTGTGGGTTCCCAGAGTATACCACAGTTTCCCCCAAACCCCATCTCCTTTTTTGCTAGTTCAAGGCGTCCCTCCTGGTCCTGGGCCACTTATTTCTCTTGCTTATGTCTCCATCACATGTATCTATTCTTGTTGGCACTGAGGCAAACCAGCTGAAATGCCTAACAATAGAAGGAGTAGGATCTCCAGATTTGTGGATATGCTACATCATGTTATAAGTGATGTTCCCACCAATCTGGAATTGAAAGCTGCTTTTAAACAAGTCTGCAATTTTTTGTGCCTTTTACATTCTCTCATGCTACTGTGTTGTAGCACTTCATAATACCCGTATTTTCCGGTGTATAAGATGACCCATGTATAAGACGACCCCCCATTTTCCAGCCAAAATATAGAGTTTTAGCACCTCTATCCTCCTTATCCTTATACCCGGCGTACAAGACGACCTCCCCACTTTAACCACAGATTTTGCAGGTTAAAAAGTAGTCTTATACGCAGGAAAATAAGGTAGTTCTCACTGCAGCCTGGATCTTTCTTTTGCATCATTGCTGTCTTTCTTGGTATCTGTCTGCAGTAGATAGTTGTACCAGTCCAACAGTATTTTAACATTATTGCATTGTCCTATGGAAACCTGGAGTTTGTACTCTGTTGAGGTTCATAAATTTCACTGCTGGTGAAAATTCCTCAATTCAAGCTTTTTAACAGAGAATCTACACATTTCAGCAACCTTGGGATGGTATTTAAATTAGTATCAAATCATTACCAGCAGACATTGATACAATGAAGATCACACAGATTACAGAGGAAGTTTTGGAGATTATCACATCATGGTTAAAACCGGCTTACCTGAGCCAGCTTAAAATTAGAAGCGGGCAGCATGCTGATATTATTAGATGCATTTAGCCACTAAAATCACTGCCCGGGTGCAGCCCAGCTCCATCGCCACTCAGAGGGGTACTCCGACGGCCATTTTTTCAAGCTGGAAAACTCCAGGCTTTGAAAAGAGGTGCGAGGAGTGCCCCTTTGAGCAGCGATGGAGCCAGGCTGTACCCGGGTGGCAATTTTGGCAGTTAAATGCATCTGAAATATCAGGATGCCGCCCACTTCTAATTTTAAGCCAGCTCAGGTAAACCAGTTTTAATCATAATGCAATAATCTTCTTTCTTTGCCTCCTGGGGCTTGGTTATCTCTCTAGCCTAGGAGTGGGAACCCAGGACCGCAATGTAGTTGGACTGCAGCTACCAACATCCCTCACCATTAACTATGCTGGATAGGGCTGTTGTGAGTTGCAGTCCAACAACACCTGGAGGGCTACATTATTCTCACTAGTTTCCCTCTAGAAATTCCTATGGCTAACTTGAGTCTTGGGAGCATCTTCAGCGTGTTGCAAGCCTTCAGGTGCCTTTTTTTGATCTGAATCAATGCTACCCAAATTGCAAGGTCTAGGAGCCATTGGTGATAAAAGAACATAAATCTGGACCATCCCCCACTGTCCATTATGACATGTTTATTATTGTTGTTAAGTGTCTTCAAGTTGTTTCCAACTTATGGTGACTCTAAGGCGACCCTATCATGGGCTTTTCTTGGCATGTTTCTTCAGAGTGGACTTGCCTTTGCCATCACCATCCTCTGAGGCTAAGAGAGGGTGACTTGCCCAGGGTCATCCAGTGGGTTTATATGGCTGAACCAGGATTCGAACCCTGGTCTTCAGAATCATAGTCCAACGCTCAGACCACTACACCATACTGGAAACCTAAAGGGAGAGAAAGCAAATGCTATTATAACATTTACATGGGTAGTAAGAAATACATTTAAAAAGAAGCAGGCAAACAGAAGAACATCTAATGTGAAACTAATTACCTAAAATTGTGGGTTTTTTAAAAAATATTATGTTGGTTCTCTTTTACTTCTACCAGATAATATTTAGAGTCAGACTCGATAAAATATTCTAACACAGGCCTTTTTCTAAGTCAGATCAATATGGTCTCTTGAGAACAATCAGTGGTGGAGTTGATTAATCAAAAACGTGATTCACATTGTGTTCACATGCAACTGTACTTATGGTTTGGGACTAAAAATATTGCCCTGAACCAAGAACAAGAATGTAGAGAGATACTGTAGCACCTTTGGGACTAACTGAAAGAAGGAAAATGGCAGATGAGCTTTCGTAGACTTAAGTCTACTTCTTCAGATGCATTTGTACTGAGGAAGTACTTAAGTCTACAAAAGCTCATGCTGCCAACTTCTTTCTTTCAGTTAGTCTCAAATGTGCTACAAGATCTCTCTACATATGTGTTGTTCTTGGTTCAGGGAAGCACTTAAGTCCAGAACCATGAGCACATATGCATGCGAACACAATGCGAATCACGTTTTTGTTAGTCAGTCTCAAAGGTGCTTTAAGATCTCTCGACATACTGATTCTACAGACAAACAAGGCTATATACAAGAACAACAAGAAAAAAGAATGGAGAATGTGACACCAATAAGGTGTTAGGGCAGCAGGTGGAGGCAAAGCCTATTAAGGCTAACAGAACATCTGCTGCACAAAAAACCACTGCCGGCGCCAAACAAAGACTCTAGTCGAACAAGAACTCTGTGCCAAGCTTAATTTTAAAAAAGTGAAAGAGGTAGATCCCTTTGCAATATATGCCTTACCCTCACCCTCCAGCAACAGCCCCACAATTATCACTGTGAATGAATCTGTTTCAGCACTCCCTGCTCTGTTTTCAATCCCCCCCAAATCAATTCTTGGCACAAGATTATTGCTTCCCGCTGTGAATCAAATGTATGTGGGTTGATGAAAGACGCTTCATTATGCAGGGGTGATAAATCCATCACCTTCTCTCCCCACTCCCACCCGCCAAAGTCAGATGGGAAGACAAAAGGTAGATTGGCATAATGGGAGCTTGGAAGCCATTGTGCAACAGAAGGCTTGGAAATGTATTTAGAGTATGGCTCTGGCAGGCCTGCAAAGAAAACCTGGGCATTTCTCTTGAAGAGCATCAGCTGCAAGGCACTTCTCGGTTAGCCTGAGGAAGAAGCTTGTGATTGGAGCAGGGGAAGGCATGTAATAAACTCACATGTCTGGCTTTTCAGTCTAAAACCTGTCATTTTGTGCAGGGAGACCTTTCTTGTATACGGTGATGGAGAAAGCAATCTTTCTCAGCTGGCGGCTAGAGTAGGATGGGGGAAGGGACATTTCAATGCCCTAGCTTTTCTGATTTATGGTTACTTCTATTGCAATTTAGCTGCAGTATAGCCAGCGCTCCATATCCATGGATATATTTTTATTATCCACGGCTTCAAGGATCCACAGCTTGAAAATGTTTTTAAAATATATACATTCCAAAAATCAAACCGTGATGTTGACATTTTATCTAAGGAACACCATTTTACTACACCAATGCATATAATGGGACTTGAGCATCCACAGATTTTGGTATCCATGGGATGTGTGTGTGTGTGTCCTGGAACCAAACCCCAGCAGATACCAAGGGCCCAGGAGGTTATTATCCAAGAAGGTTTTCTTTTCTTTATTTAGACTGAGGGTGGGTGGAAAGGTAAAGGGTAATTCGAGGTTAAAGCAGAGGCTGATTCGAGGTCCAGGCACTACAAATTCTGCAAGTGCAACTGAAAAAGCTGAATTGCCATTCAAAAAGAAGTTCATAGAATGATAGTATTGGAGGGTACCACAAACGCCATCTATTCCAAACCCCTGCCATGCAGGAATACACAACTAAAACAACTTCTGTTCAAAGATCTCCATTACAGGGGAGTCCACCACCCTCTGAAGCAAGCTATATCACCGTTGAACTGTTCTTACAGTAAAAAAAAGTTCTTCCTTATGTTTAGGAATCTTTTTCCCTCTAATCTTTTTTCCTGTAATTTGAATCCATTGGTTATGGTTCTAGGCCCTGGAGCAGGAGAAAACAAACTCCTCAATTTTATTCATCACATCCCTTCAGATATTTAAGACAGCTATCATGTCACCTCTCAGTCTTCTCTTCTGCAGCTGAAGCATACCCAACTCCCTACATTGTTCCTCATAAGGCTTAGTTTCACTAACTTTAATCATTGAGGGCTGCATTTACACTGCAGAATGAATGCAGTTTGCAACCGCTTTAACTACCATTGCTCAATGCTATGGAATCCTGGGAATTGTAGTTTGTTGTGGCAGCAGAGCTCTTTGATAGAGAAGGCTAAATGTCTCATGAAACTACAATTCCTAGAATTGCATAGCATTGAGTCATGGCAGTTAAACTGGATTATTTCTGCAGTGTGGATGCAGCCAGACCAGCTATAAGTCTACTTCTTCAGGTGCATTTGGCATCCTCAACAAATGCATCTGAGGAAGTAGACTGAAGGGCCGATGCAGACCTGCCATTTGGGGCAGCACAGAGCCGCCCTGGGAAGTGGCAGATCAGGGCCGTGGCAACCCCACACCGCAGCCCTGATCCTCTCTTTTGCCACCCAACAAGAGCGGCAAAATGCCGCTCCTTTTAGGGGCAGCAAAAGGCCACCCTAAGAGTCAGTGCCGTGGCTCTTCAGCACCCTTTCGGTGCAGCGTGTTTAAATGCTGTGCCAGGAGGGCGTCCTGATGCCGTGTGCTGTGCATATGGCCGTGCGTCATCAGGACGGCGTTGTGGTGGGGTTGGGCCAGCCAGCAGGAGGCTGCCCTGCCTCAACTCCACTCACAGGCCGGCCCTTTGGGCCGGTCTGCAATGGCCCTGGAGTCTATGAAAGCTCATGCTGCCAACTTCTTTCTTTTGGCTAGTCTCAAAGGCGCTAAAAGATCTCTCTGCATACTGATTTTACAGACTAACACGGCTATGTCTTTAAGCTATATTTGCTGTGGAAACCCACCGCTATTCACAGCTATCACTTGCTGTGGAAACCCAAGCATTATATCACTGCCTCCAGAGGTCTAACTCTTTATCACTCTGAGGGGCCATTCCCATGTACCTTTAAATCGGTTTGTGAAT